AACCTCATCCCGCCCCCTTGACCTGTCCGTCCTCCCTGGACTGACCTGTCTCCTCCCTAACTCCCCACCTACACTCCCCTTTACTGGCTCCATCCCCGCCTCTTTGACCTGTCTGTTTCCTCTCCACCTATCTTCTCCTCTATCCATCTTCTATCCGCCTCCCCCTCTCTCCCTATTTATTTCAGAACCCCCTTCCCCTCCCTCATTTCTGAAGAAGGGTCTAGGCCCGAAACGTCAGCCTTCCTGCTCCTATGATGCTGCTTGGCCTGCTGTGTTCATCCAGCTCTATGCCTTGTTGTCTCAGATTCTCCAGCATCTGCAGTTCCTACTATCTCTCAAAGTGTATAATCCATTATTTCTAGGGAAGCAATGGCCTAGTGGTATTATCAGTAGACTGTTAATCCAGATACTCAGCTAATGTTCTGGGGACTTAGGTGCAAATTCCATCATGGCAAATGGTAGAATTTTAATTCAATAAAAGAATCTGGAATTAATGATGACCATGGAATCAATGTAGATTGTTGGAAAAACTCACCTTGTTCACCAATGTCCTTTTGTGAAGGAAATCCGTCATCCTTATCTGATATAGCCACGTGTTACTCCAGACCCACAGCAATGTGGTCAACTCTTAACTGCTTTCTTGGCAATTAGGAATGGGAAGTAAATGCTGGCCAGCCAGTGACTTCCTCATCCCATCAGTGAGCAAAGAAGAAGTCCTCTCCAGTACATCACATTATACAACTTCAATATGTGTACGCAGCCCTTTATTGAGCCAAGAGTTCTCAGATAAATTGTACTCTATAATCCAGAATTAATCACAATCCTTATATACGATTACAAAATTATATCATGTCGTGACATCAGAATTATAATGTGGGGGTAGTAAGATGCATTTACATCTCTAAATTCTTCCAGTCATCCTGTTACCATGTATATATGTCGAACTTTACTTCATTATTATAAACACCAATGAACAAAGTAACATCTTCCAGACTATTAGAGTCATAGACAAGTTACATTCACACATTGTGTTTGTTCTCGGTAGAACCCCACCTCCACTGACGACCCCCCCCACCTCGAACATTTCTGTTCCTCCATGGTTCCCAGCTTCATCATTCAGAAATATGCAATTTTCCTCAAGGGAAGAGGCTTTAACTTCCTGTTTTACTCTGTGTTTTAAATGTATGCTTCCTTCACAGGACTATCCAACGGCTCCAATATTGTTCCCCAATATTCCTTCTATTGTTGAGTATTTTGACGATGGCATCCAAAATGATGTTACCATGTTTCCACCTCATGTTTCAGTCAGTGAGAGAAAGTTAGATTTCGGCAAGTGCCTGGAGCTCAGCCAGATTAACCCTCTTCCTCTTTCAATGACGAATCACACAAAAGGCAAGGTCACAGTTCTCTGGACATCTCCATCAGGCAGCATCTTCACTGTGGTACCACAAACCATCGACATCCCTCCTTTGAAGAGTATGGCTTTCCGCATCTATTTCACTCCTGATAAGCTCAATATGCTATATGCAGCTGAACTGGAATGCTTTGCTTATTATAAGGTCAGTAGGTGTCAGAATTGTCTCCTGTACTTTTGGGTTTTATTGCCGCATTAGAGCCTTGCCTCAAGTGTCAGGGGATCATGGGTTCAAGATCCACATCAGAGATATGAGCTCAGAATTTCCGAGCTGGACTTCTATACAGCACTGAAGGCACGCTGCACTGTCAGAGGTGTTGTCTTTCAAATAAGACACCCTAACCACCCTTATGTGGTACAATTATGATTCCACGGTTTTATCTTGACCAGAAAGGTTTATCCAGTGTCCTGGCTAACATTTATTTCTCAATCAGTACCGTTGACTAGTCGCTATCTAATTGTTGTTTGTGGGAACATGCAGGGAAACCGGCATGCTTCCTACATTGTAACAATGATTACACTTGACAAAAATAAAACCTAACTGGCTGCAAAGCACTTTGAGAGATCCTGAGGCTTTCTTATGAGCATTGCCATAATCCTGAACTCTGGATGAATATCCAGCTGAATACCAATGCACCTAACATTCCTGTTATATTGTTAATTGGAAGTTTATGTATTGTTGCCACATCTCCAAATTGTTGGTCTCATTTACAGGTCATACGTGATTACCGTTTAGTGGATGACAGGACATTCTGTCCACCATGGTCCGTCACAGTAAGTGTGCAAGCGAACACCTTCCAGCCAGGACATGAGCATTTCATTCCCAAATGTGTCCTTGAGTCTCTTGAAGTGGTAAGTGCATATTTTATAGAGATCCATTTTTTTTAATCAGTGTGGTCAAAGTTTGGTGAAGCCAGTAAATTGAACCTCCTGTTTATTTTAGACAGAGAACTGACAATGGAAACATGGTAGGTGAGGACAAGTAGGAAGGCTGCAAGGAAAGGAGGGATCAGAGAGACAATAAAGATTGGATAGTGCCCCAGATTACAAACTAACCTTTCAAAAGGAGTTTTCAAGAGTGGATAGAGAGAGACACATCCCTTAAAAAAACAAGAAAGGGACTTAACATTAAGAGAAAGAGAGATTTTCTTTTCAACTTATTCCTATTTAAGGGAAATGTAGATTTGTGTGTCAATATAAATTAAGGGCAAAATTTCATGGGTCCTTGCTGGTTGGTTTGCAAGTGGGGATGAAGAGACCGTGGAACTCTCTTTCTGCCCATTCTCACCTCTGTTGAGGGCTCGTCCCCAACGTCAATTTTGGTTCTTAGCCAATAACATATAAAGGTTGAGAGAGCTAGGGCTTTTCTCTTTAGAACAATGAAGGATGAGAGGTGACTTGATAGAGGTGTACAAAATGATCAGAGGTATAGATAGAGTGGACAGCCAGAGACTTTTTCCTAGGGTGGAGGTAGCTATTACGAGAGGGCATAGTTTTAAAGTGAGTGGAGGTAGATATAGGGGAGACGTCGGAGGTAGGTTCTTTACTCAGAGTAGTCGGGGCGTGGAATGCATTGCTGGAGAGGGTAGTGGAGCCGGCCTCATTAGGGGCATTTAAGCGGCTATTAGATAGGCATAAGAATGATAGTATAAGGTAGGGGTGGAGGTTAGATAGACCTTAGGATGAGGGTAAAAGTTTGGCACAACATCGTGGGCCGACGGGCCTGTACTGTGCTGTACTGTTCTATGTTCTATGTTCTATGTAACAATGCTTCACTGACAACCCAGAAATCCATTAGACTGTTGAAGTACCTCAGTTGCAGAGAAAACATTGCATAATTGACAGTTCTGGCCCCTCTGATCTGTTCTGACAATTGTACAATATTTATTTATACAAAATGATGTGGTTTCAAGTGCTTGCAGTTTCTGTCGTTGATGTTTTATTGGTCTGAATGATTAAAATTTTTATTTTACAGAAAGGATTTTCTTTTTGTAATGGAATAAAAATATATGAATAAAATCAGCTGGGACCCTAATGCTAGCTTTATATTCCACGTTTATTATTTAGGTTTAAACCCCACCAAGTGCCATTTGTATCGATATTTCTAGAGTGATAGAACATAGAACAGTACAGCACAGTACAGGCCCTTCAGCCCACGATGTTGTGCCAAACTTTTACCCTCATCCTAAGGTCTATCTAACCTCCACCCCTACCTTATACTATCATTCTTATGCCTATCTAATAGCCGCTTAAATGCCCCTAATGAGGCCGGCTCCACTACCCTCTCCAGCAATGCATTCCACGCCCCGACCACTCTGAGTAAAGAACCTACCTCTGACATCTCCCCTATATCTACCTCCACTCACTTTAAACCTATGCCCTCTTGTAATAGCTACCTCCACCCTAGGAAAAAGTCTCTGGCTGTCCACTTTATCTATACCTCTGATCATTTTGTACACCTCTATCAAGTCACCTCTCATCCTTCGTCGTTCTAAAAGAGAAAAGGCTTAGCTCTCTCAATCTTTCCTCGTAAGACCTTCCCTCCATTCCAGGCAACATCCTGGTAAATCTCCTGTGCACGTTTTCTGATGCTTCCACATCTTTACTGTAATAAGGTGACCAGAACTGGACACAATACTCCAGATGTGGCCAAACCGGGCTTTTGTATATCTGGAGCATAACTTCACGGCTCTTGAACTCAATCCCACTATTAATGAAAGCTAACATACCATACGCCTTCTTAACAACTCTACCCACCTGGGTGGCAGCTTTCAGGGAACTGTGGACATGAACCCCAAGATTCCTCTGCTCCTCCACACTGCCAAGAATCTTTCCGTTAACCCTGTATTCTGTTTTCAAGTTTGTCCTTCCAAAATGAATCACCTCACACTTTTCAGGGTTAACCTCCATCTGCCACTTCTCAGCCCAGCTCTGCATCCTATCAATGTTCCTTTGCAACCTAGAACAGCCCTTCACGCTATCCACAACTCTACCCACCTTCGTATCGTCCGTGAACTTACTAATCCACCCTTCCACTCCTACATCCAAATCACTTACCTGGGCTTAGAGAAAGAGAGATTTTCTTTTCAACTTAAACACACACACACACACACACACACACACACACACACACACACTCCCCACCTTGTTATCCTAGGCTTCTCATTTAATTATCACTAGCTTTTCCATGCTTTCTGCATGATCTGGTAATTGCATGCGAGTGTCATGAATACTCATTTTAAAGAAGATGCATTCTGATTATGCCTAATCCAATGTCAGTACAGCATCCTGATCCTGCACTAAGAAGGTTTGTCCCTATATCCTTCAGTTTCACTACCTCATCCCTATCCTTCAAATGATCTCTCTGAGTGTACTTCTATCAATTTTGCTTGTGGTCATCATCATTGCCTCATATTTCATTTTGGGTGTCAGTTAGCTTAATTGGCTGGACAGCTAGTTTGTGAAGCAGAGTGACGCCAACAGCACCAACTGAGGTTTGCCATGAAGGTCCAACCTTCTGAATCTCACCTGAGGTATGGTGACCTTCAGGTTAAACAACCACCAGTCGCCTCTCTCTAATGAGAGAACAGCCCTATGGTCTGATAAGACTATGGCAGCTTTCTAATATTTCATTTACTTTTTTTCCTTGATGTTCATTCATCACTCTACTAGAAAAATTCTTTAAAAAGCAAATTATACTTCAAGTGTGGCTGTTGCTGACAGACTTTGTTGTCCATCCCCCTCGAGGAAGTGATGGTGAACATGCCTTAAATAATGTTAGTTATTTGTTATGTGCATGAGTTGCTAAGCCACTTCAAAGACAAACAAGTTGCTGTGGAACTGGAGTTTCACATAGGCTAGACTGAGTAAGGTCAGCAGGTTTTCTTACCTAGAAAGGTATGTTTGTGAGCTAGTTGGGTTTATACAACAGGTGAAAGCACCATGGTCATTTTTACTGAATTCAAACACTCAAATTGCCAATGGTGGGATTTGAGCTCATTGCGTCTCGATTATTAATCCAAGCATCAGAGTTAAATGTGGAGTTTTGGACTCCTTCTTTAAGAAAGTATGTAGATGCATTATCGAGTTACAAAGTATGGAAGCAGACACTTCGGTGCAACTTGTCCATGTCGACCAGATGACCCAATTTGACCTAGTCCCATTTGCCATCATTTGGACTATATCCCTCTAAACCCTTTGTTTCTATTAGAGCCAATTCAGAGAAGGTTTACTTGACTGATACCCTAGATATCTTGTAAGGAATGTTAGACAGAATGCACCTCTTTTCATTGGTGTTTAGAAGAATGAGAGGAGATCTTTATGGAACAAAACTCTTAGAGGATCCCCGCCTCTTCGACCTGTTTGTTTCCTCTCCACCTATCCTCTCCTCTATCCCTCTTCTATCCGCCTCCCACTCTCTCCCTATTTATTTCAAAACCCCCTTCCCCTCCCCCTTTTCTGATGAAGGGTCTAGGCCCGAAACGTCAGCCTCTCTGCTCCTATGATGCTGCTTGGCCTGCTGTGTTCATCCAGCCCTGCACCTTGTTGTCTTAGAGGACTTGGCAGGTTGAATGTGGGATGGCTGTTTGTGGAGGAGATTAGAACTGGGTGGGGTGAGGCATCGAGTTTAAAAATAACGTGTTTCCCAATTAAAGCATATATTTTCTCTCCATGTTTGAGAGTCTTTTAAAATCTTTTTCCCAGAGAGCCTTGGAAGCAAGATCATTGAATACTTTTAAGGCAGAGATAGATTATTGACTAATAAAGGGGTCAATGGTTATTGGACAAGAATGTGGAATTGAAGCTACAATCAGATCAGCCTTGATCTTGATAAATAGCGGAGTAGGCTAGAGAGGCTGAATGCCCACTCTTGCTGTAATTCATATGTTTGCGTGTATATTTAAGAATGCATTTTTGATTCATAATTCACGTCACTTTGCTTACTGCAGGTGTTGCCAGCAGTGAATGAGAAAGGAACGATTTACAAGACCCTGCTGCTCAAGAATACAGGGAACATGGTCATTACCTTTTCTGTGGAAAAGCAGCATGAAAGCACCATCAGAATCAAACCAGATGTAGGTTTTGTGCTCCCTCAAACACATCAGATATTGACAGTGCGAGGGACCCCACAGAATGAGAGCCTTACCAAACACACAGTGCTACTACATCTGAATGCCTCAGAGAAATTCAATCAGGTACTCGTAAGAAATTGTATCAGAGATAGTAGAAACCGCAGATGCTGGAAAATCTGAGATAACAAGGTGTAGAGCTGGATGAACACAGCA